TAGATTTCCTTAAATAACATGTTTGTAAGTTGCACACTGACCTTTATGAAAAGCCACTCAAAAATAATGGTCCAATTAGTCCTGGGCTATTTCAAACCCAAAGATAGTTAAAATAGATCAATCCATTTAAAAATTTAGTGATGCCGAATTTCAATCTAGTCCAATTTTGTCAATCTTGAACTACAAAGATTAGAGTCATTTTAGGTAGACATAAATGTAAAAAAACAACATTTTAGATTACTTCTGAAATTAGCCTTATGTCCTTGGAGACACAGTGGTCATGGGAGATTTATTGACCTACTCACAACCCTTCCTCCCTTTCCTCCCCTCCCCAGTGTTGCCATGACTTCCCAGTAGCCCAGTAGGTGAAACAGTGATCTCACCGGCTGGTTTGCCATGTGACTTGCTGCGACCATTGGAATGTGTCAAGAAGAGTAGAGTGGAAGTTCTGAACTGAGGCTTTAAGAGGTTTTGAGTGTTTCCACTCGCCTTATTATGCCCTACTATCCCCTACAAAAATAACACACCTTAGGCAGCCATGACTCATTCAGTCTCTACCCCATAATGAGAGGTACATGAAACAGAATGAACCAAACCTATAGTGTACTTATTACAGTCAATCCACAGAGTCATGATCCAGAAATGAAGATCTGTATATAAACAACAAAATTCTGGGGTTGGTTTGTTACCATACTAAAAGTTAATATCGTGGCCAACAAAAAGAGGGTTTAAGGTATTGTTTTCTGGTACCGCTTATGTTTAGTCAATAATAATAATGCTAATAACCTTACCAAGTGTCATGGCCAGTAAAGTCAGGATGATTGTTCCTTTTGAAGGCAGAGTTCATACTCAGCATACCAGAGATTCACTTATTTATTTGCTCACTTATTCTATTTCTCAATAAGTATTTATTATGTGCTAAAAATTTTAAGTAAAAATTATTGTAGCTGTTCTGTTAAAAATAAATTAATTAGAGGCCTCCCTGGTGGCACAAAGGGTTAACACGGCAGCCTGTGAAGCTGTCCACAGCCTCTGCAGCACGAGTTCAACCCCTGGCTGGCCAGGGAGCAATCCACACGGCGCTGCAGACCTCTCCTCACTCGCCCGCTGCTCCCCTCAGCAGTGTACTGTGGTTGATCTGCCTGTTCTGTTCCCCACTCTGAGTCCTGTGAATCCTCTCAGCGCCCCCCATACACTGTCGCACCTCTGGCCTGTACTCCAGCTCTTGTATGCATAAGGAAATAAATCTTTAAAAAATAATAAAAATAAATTAATAAATTAAATTAAATTTCCAGATCCATTCTCCAAAACAGTATGCTAAACCAAACAAGTTTTCATTTCTGGATGTATCAGGCACTGGCCACACATCTTTGTGACAGCTAGACATCTTCTGTATTAATCTCATCTAAAGATGTATCTATCAGTCAGGATTAATGATTCTTGAGCCTCCTTTGCTGAAGTAAAATTACTTGTACCTGATTTGTCATCCCCCCATAGCACCTAATACAATATTTTGCACTTACTAGCTATTAACTGACTCCTCATTTCAACTCACAGTTACCAATGTTTTCATTATGGTCCATATCTCAAACAACATCATGAGTCACAAAATTATTCATCTATTGAAATGACAGAAATGATTAGATATGATCTTTCTACCTGAATACATGGGAGTACAGTACTACTCACTGAATGAAGTTCAAGATAAACTGCGCCAATAAGAAATCCTTCAAAACGGTACACAGATCCCTTCCATGAACACTGATATGTAGAATTTATGGCTAGGTGACATATACACAAACGTGCAACAGAGATGTACACTCAAGGGTACAGTTCTAAGGGAGATTTCACCAAGAGGCCTCTCAACCCCTTCTCTGGAGCACTTTGCTGTCCTCAGTCCCTTTACCACCAGTCCTCTCTCCAGTTCTCTGACTTTCTCCATCAACCTCTGCCACCCAATTAATCTATTATTTTCTTTCCTTTCCTCTACTTTTTTTCTTGCTTGTTTCTTGATTTTCTGTCTTCCTTTCATACATCTAATCTTTGGTATAAGAAGACATCACTATACATTCGAGTACTCCTCCCCTTTACAACAAATCAACCAACTGCCAAAAAGCAGATATAATTTTCAGGCTGCAGAGTCAATAAAAGCAGGTGTGTTCCTTGCAGGATGCTTAGGGACTTACAGAGATCTCCACACACCTCGCCAGCTATTTTAGTACTTGCATCATTAGAGAAATTTAAAGACAAGATTTTTTTCCAAAATTCTGCTGAACTCCATGATCTAAACATGTTCAGCTCATCAAAGCTGTACAGTAGAAAAGATGTCTTAAAATATGCTGAATTAATTAACTACCACATCTCATCACAGCAATTTCTGCATGTAAATAATTTTGATTATGATTTAGTCATATCTAATGAAATTATAAATAATCTGTTATGCCGAGAAGCAGACTAAAATCCTAAAATACAGACCAACTATAATAAACATATATTTTTCCTTTCTTCCTAAAATATATTTTCCCCTTTATTCTGAAAATAGCACCCCCCTTTTTCTGGAAAATGTCATTCCTACTTCAACTTAAAAGTCCATGGAAGGCGATTCAATATAATCTCCCATTTTCTTATTCAGCCACAGGCCTGGGGTATGCACCTGTCCAAAGCTGGACCAATCATGGCACCCTAAGCTGCTGGCAAAAGTTGATCTTGTACTTGTATAGGCTAGGGTGTGTGACTCAAGCTAAATCAATCAGTCCTTCCTCTGTGTTTTCAAAACTGAAATTAAGACCAAAAAAAAAAAGAGCTCTCTCAGTGATGAGATTGGGCATCTTAAGGCATGAGAGGTGCCAGCAGCCATGTGCTCTGCATAGTGGAGAAAGCTGGTCCTAGAGCACGAAGCCAAGAAGTAGAGAGAAGCAGATATTAGAAACAGAGAGAAGACTGAGCACCCTGGCAGTGCTCAAGTCCTTGGATCAAGTTGTCCCTGACAATTGCCACACTCCTGCCTTCCGCCTGGTTACATAATAAATTTCCAATAAATTTGCCTATATATCTAAGCCAATTCAAGCTGTTTTTCTGTAACCAGTAGCACAGGAAATTGTACACAGTACACTAAACAGACTCCAAGGTAACAAATTTGACTTTTGGAAGGTGAGGTCCAGAAATACTGCACGAAATTCTAATGTATCTGCAGCAAACTTGGCATTCATCAACAGACTGGCATTTAAGAATGACACTACTTACTTTACACTTCTAACAAGGATAAACCTTGCCTTTTCATAAGATGATAAATTTCTTGAATTTTGCAGTGAATTTTCTTAGCTCTTAGCACATACCATGAACATAGATGTTGAGTGGGTATAAACTGGGCTAAAAACATGAAAACTGGGATATTATGATTGCCACGTGATCCTCTGGAATATCATCAGATCCAGGTAAGGTTTTGTGTTCTGCAAAAATTCATCTCAAGAGAGTGATCATTGTGTAGTCCAATTGCACTAATAAAATTGGAGAAAATTATTATTAATGTGATTATTTATTACCAAAAGAAATATACCTCTGGATATATTAAAAGGGATCCAGGCCCCCAAAAAAGGATATAGGTAGCTGTGGAAAAGACAATTTTAATCTCAGATAAAGGATCTGACTCAAAACTCAGGAAGGGAAAATAAAACTAGTTTTCTCTGAGGTCTGGGTCTAAGAAGCGGCCAGGAATTCAAAATTAAAGATGTAGGAATTGTAAATTAAAGCAACTATCTGTATTAAATGTATTAAATTGCATCTAGGAATAAAACCATGTACCTAAAAATCCTGTCCTATGTTGGTAGTACCACATAAGAATATATTTATATTCAAATATTCATATAAGTGACCAGTTTGCTTTGGGCTGATGATGCCACTATGGAGAGAATCTGAGAGACAAGGTCTGCGCTCAGAATACCCTGGCCAAGGCCTTACTACTCTTAAGTGATGGAAATAGAAGTAAATGTCCTACTCTGCACCTTTAGCTCACACAAAGAATATACAGTCTAAGAATCTCACTGGCCAGAATGCAAGAAGAAATTTGTTTTTCAATACAAACTGCAATAAATAAAGCAAATTCACTTTAATTCCTTAAAACAGATGTTTACACCCTTAACTAGTTCTAAGTAACCCAAAAACAAAAGAATCTAAGTTGATTTATTACCTGTATGACTTTGAATTCTGATAGTCATTCATTTTAAAGTTTTTAATTAAGCTTATATATTCATTTTATTTCCTTCACACAGCTATTTAGCACAATGCATAAATTTCAAACATACTAAGAACAAACAAAAAAATCATATTAAAAACCCAATTTCTTCTCAATTGCACAAACTTACTTAAACAGCTAGGTTCTAAACATCGAGTTTAGAAAAATAAAGTTTTCTCTAAGTTATTCAAGAGGACTATTCACGTATAACTTTTGTAAATCTACTCTCCAAAGTTCTGCACTTAACCTTTTCAATCAGCAACATGCTTAAAGAACACTAGAATACATGAGATCAGTGCTCCAGATTTTTCTGCCCACTCAAAGTGTGTGTGTGTGTGTGTGTGTGTGTGAACAAAGTAACTGAATTGCACCCAAACTCATCCTGCAATCATACTAATAAACTGCGCTTAAAAAGATTTTCAAAAATGGAGACTTACACTTTTTAAAATCCTAGGCCACCACAGAAAATGGTGTGTCATTCAGCAAAATTCTTCAGCGACTACATTTATAATTCCCTCAACAAAAAAAAAAAAAAACCTACAGATTCAGAAATCCTTCTGATAGTTATTTTTCTTCATCTCTACTCTGATTATAACATAACTGCATTAGGAGACCTTATGAAGAAATTTATTAAAATTAATTTTAAGTTCAAGAACTTTTTCAAGACTTTTCATTTCCCAGCATGAAAATAGCACATAAAAATTTCATTTCTAGTACTTGAGAAACAATGAGCACACGTTTTGACAAAGGAAGTTGTATTTTTTGTTACCTGCATGGATGCTCCTTCCACCCTTGCCACACAGGCAACACGATCCAGGAAAGTCACTGCCACAGGCACTGCCACAAAGAAGCCTTTACAGAAGGCCTTCAAGTATCTTTTCACCCAGCCTTGTGACTGTGCCATACCTAAAAACACAAAAGAAACAAGTATGACATCAGCCTCCGAAAAAGGCGAAAATGAAAACAGCATAAGAAAAGTAAGAGTTAAGGGAGAACAACCTCATCTAGATACATATATTTCACACTGATCCTTGTAGCCATTAGAAAAATTTTACCTTAAAATCCCAAAGGTAAACACATGAATGCGGGAGAATTCTTTTTAGTAGCTGAAGCCCACATGATAATTTCAGTGGAAAATTTCTAATCATGCAGCAATAAGGAAAAAAATAAACATTCCAAAAGTAAATCTTTTTCTGTTGCTAACTAAATATTATGTGGAGAAGCTCCTTATCCCGATACCTGTTCTCTTCTATAGTATTAGATGTTTTAGTGGGACACATGGCTGCCCAGCCTCCCTTGCAGCTGTGGGTAACCATATGACTAGATTAATGAATTTTATATGAGCAGAAATTATATACTTGCACATTGTGCTCTTAAAAAGAGCATGCCCTTTCTGTTCTTTTTCCCATTTTATACCTGTGATTACAAGGTAGCTTGGAGAAGTAGGAGAAGGAGTAGTCATCTCAAAATATAAGACTAAGCAACAAAATAGAAGTTATGGAGGTACCATAACTGCCCTGCATTGCTTACACTCAAGCTATCAAATGAGAAATAAATCACTTTCCAACATGTTCAAACTACAATATTGGCTTTTGTTATAGCAGCCCAAACTGATCCAAACTAATACAAAATCTAATGAGACCAGAGGAAAAAAAAATCACTTCATGTGAATTCAATAGAGCTAATTACCAACCCTTATTTAGCTCTCTAGCCACTTGCTGAATTTCCAGATTTTCTCAAGATCCCTTAACTATCTCAGGCAATGAAAAACAAAACAGTATGAGATCAAAATATGTAATGCAACTAGACCCTAATTGTTTGTCTATTCTATTTCATTGGATGGAATAAGATGGATACAGGAGAACAAATTATTCTAGTGGTCAAGATAAAGAGAAGATTAAAGTGACAAGACTAAAAATGTATGAACAATGACAGAAGAGATATGAGAAGACGTGTCAAAAGGCAAGAGTGATCTATCAAAGCACTCTATTTTGCCACCCCTTGAGTTACACACTAGTACTGAAGTCATGCTCAGAGTCAATTCCCCATTTACTCAGTCTCACTAAATGCAAGGCCATAGTTTAGTTGCTAGGGATATAGGAGTGAAGAGGCAGCTAGACACAGTCCTTGTTACCTCCACCGTTATACACCTGTAGGGGCAGGAAAGACACAGGGCAGGTTTTCTAGGATCCCATGCAGATGGGGTAAAGGAGGAGTCAGAGTCCTTGGTGGCTTTTGCAGGTTTTTTATTTAGATTTACCATGTACATGGCAGGCAGGAGTGCTGGAGGGCCAGAAGGCTGGCAGGACTCCCAGCCCCCAGCAAGTCTTCATTCTATCTGGGCTTTCTGGCGTTCTCTCGGGTTCTCTCTGCTTCTCTGCTCTCCTGCGTCTCTGCTTCTTTTTCGGCTTCTCGTTCGGCTTCTACTCTTGGCTTCTGCTGGCATCCCCGTGACGCCGCCCTTAAAAACCCAGTCTTAGCCCAGGTGAATCCCATCTACCTATCCCACACCCTACTCCAGGTGCCCGCCATCAGGCATGCATTCAGGACAGCAAGAATCCGTCATCTATCCTGATGGCGGGAGGACAGAAAAGCCTGATTTTTTACCTTACCCTACAACACCCAAAGGAGACTGTCCTTAACTAAATACCTCCTGTGAAAATGAGCATTAGAAAGACCCAATGTCCCTGAAGTACAAGCAGGGAAAACTCTCCACCAGAAAATGATTGAGAAGAGTCTTCCAAAAGAAAAGTCATTTGAGGTAAGACCTGAGCATTTCAGGCAAAAGGAGCAGCATTTGTGAAGACTTAGGGGCAAAATAAAAAGTGCAATTTGATTGGAGTATATGCAAAATTTATTATATTAACTCTAAATTTTTATTCAGTAAACATATACTTATCGACAGCCAAACACCAAGCTAAGGGCAGAAGATATAAAGATGGCTAAGTATACAGTCTGTCATTTAAAAAAGTCAGTAAACAAAATTACATTTTCTATGTAAATGTATATAAGCAGATAAAGCATTTAAAATAGGACATTATTAATGTTTTATTTGCCTAATAAACACCTATATGTCACTTGTATAATTAAAAAGTATAGAGGGGAACAACAGCTTTATCAAAATGCTAACTCTGGTTAATTCTAGATGTTGGGAATGAAGAAGAGGACTATTTTTTTCTTTGAACTTTTTTTTTTAATATTAGAAACCAACATAAAGACTGTCTTAAGAAGTCATTTTAATATAGAGATAATAAGGAGTAGGAATAGTCTTTATCTAGTTACCATCGTGATAAATAAACCTCACTTTCTCATTTCAGTCTCTGTTGCACTGAATAGGGCAAAAAATTTTAAGTAAGATTCTTCCCTATATATAGATCAATCAGTATATTTAACTGACTACCATTCTTTTATGTAGTCAATGCAGGTTACAACAGACTATAGCAAGTTTTTGAAAACCTGAGAGTTTAAAGAACCTTAGAAATTCTTTTTTTTTTTTTTTAATAGAGGCATGCTTTATTTATTTATTTTATTTGTTTGTTTGTTTTGTTTATACAAGCACTGGGTACAGTCAGAAGCGCGGGAGGGTGAGAGAATTCACCAGAGCCAGAGCGGGGAGCAGAGCAGGCAGAAGGACCGAAGTACACTGCTGAGGGGAGCAGCGGGCGGCAGGAGAGGTCTGCGCGCCATGTGGGACCCTCCTCCGGTGGCCAGGAAGCAGCTGGGGATCGAACCGGCGCCGCAGAGGCCGCGGGTAGCTTCGCAACCCAGCGCTCAACCGCTGCGCCACCGGGGAGGCCCTAGAAATTCTTATCTTTCTACCCACACACAGTAATAAGCACTTCAGTTCAAATAGGAAAAAAAAGGCTGACAATTCATTGGACAACCAATCTGACGACTTAACTATTTTAAATTTAAAAAAAAAAAAGCTGGCTTTAAACACACAAATCTATGCTTACTTAAATAATAAGCAAAAATACATTTTCCTAAAATTAATGCATTTCCTTTTCTATATAAGTTGTGTAGGGTCAGGTAAAAGGTATCAGGCTTTTCTGCCCTCCCGCCATTAGGATAGATGACAGAACCCTGCGGTCCTGAATGCATGCCTGATGGCGGGCACCTGGAGTAGGGTGTGGGCATAGGTAGATGGGATTCGACTAGGCTTTTAAGGGCAGCGTCACGGGGACGCCAGCAGAAGCCGAGAGAAAAGCAAAAGAAGCAGAAGCCGATAGAAGGCCAGAGAGCCCAGAGTGAAGACCTGCTGGAGGCTGGGAGGCCTGCCACCCTACCGGCCCCCCAGCGCCCCTGCCTGTCGTGTACCTGGTAAATCCCAATAAAAGCCTGCAAAACCACTGAGAACTCTGATTCCTCCTTTACCGGGTCTGCTGGTTCATAGAAAACCTGCTCAGTGGCCATTCCTGCCTCTACAGTTGCCAAGGAATCACTGGGGTGATCTGGTCTTATGTTCAGACCTTATATTAATTTAAACCATCATAGTACTAAGTACTATTTTGCAATCATGCTAGGCCAGGTTACCTGCATGGATGTCGGTTCGAGCAATTTGAAGGAGAATTTTGGAAGCCTTGGCATCATTTTCACAAGTTTTAATGATAAGCAGAGGAAACAAGCCAGCAGGGAGACAGGTACTTGAGCCCCCTTCCCAGGGTAATATTGCCCTTTTATCCCCTCCCTCCTAAGCACAGGTGTGCACACTTGCACATGCACACACATCCATGCTCCAAGTATCCACAATCAGGCACCCATGCCCCACACCCATGCACCTGCTTTAACACGATCAAAGCCACAGGTGATATCCACAGAGGCCAATGGTATAAAAGCCTGACCAACTTCATTTACCCTACAAGCTCCTAGTATCCATTTCTGTGAAAAAATTTCACAGAAGCAATTACAATGTGGTAATAAAATCATCCCTGGCCAAAAAAAAAAAAAATTAGGGGGGGATAATTTTTATCAGTAACTTCATTCTTCAGGTAACCACACAAGTCATTTAAGTTCAAAACATTACTCCTGAGGAAATTACTGCTTTAAGCAGTAGGCACACCTGGCTCATTGCTTAAGTACTTGAACTGAAAATATTTTAAATAAACTTTCAGAGTCCATGGAAATCATATTTGCCACCTGGTAATTAACACCTGCAAGTGAAGGTTCTGACAAAGCTGACTTCAGCCACATGATGACCTGTACTCAAAGCCTCTTTGCAATAATGATTTGTTATAGTTTGACCATGCATGAGTTCATGTAAAATCTCTCTTAAATTCACTATTTTAGCCTGTACAAAGTCACCAACCACTCAATGACCAGGTAGAAAAATATACAAGGTAATAAATAAACCTTAAGTTGTCCAAATTATAAAAACTATTTTAAAATGGTATAGAACATTTAAAGGTAAAGGAAAATAATAAATTACAATGCAGTATCTTATATAAAATGTAATTTTCTTTTTTTATAATCATGATTTTTATTTTATTTTTTTAATAAATTTTATTTTTATATTCCCCATACAATTGCAACACCCTTATTTTGACCCCAATTCCTCCCCACGCTCCATAGAGTGTCTCTGGTTCATAGTTTTTTGTTGATTTTGATTTTCACTTTCTTATAGTTATTCATTTTCCTGGTCCCTTATTAAAGTTTTCTAGATTCCTGCTATGACTGAGACCATCGGGTATTTTTCTTTTTCTTTCTGGCTTATTTCGCTGAGCATGATCCCTTCCAGCGCCATCCATGTTGCTGCAAATTGCATGTGTTTATCTATTTTGAATGCTGAGTAATATCCCATGGTGTATATGTACCACATCTTCTTGATCCAGTCATCTATTTTTGGGCATTTGGGTTGTTTCCAAAGCTTAGCTATTGTAAACAGTGCTGCTACAAACATAGGGGTGCAG